GTGCGCGTTCACAGCTCTTGATAAAGCAACACTGGGTTGAGTTACCGAGTTGATATCCAGCGTCGTGATACTGATTATCCTGATTGCCATTGTTAGGATTAGTCAACCCAGGATAGGTCTGGGTAACCCAGGAAAGGTTGATCTCGCTTCGTGATACAGGCCCCAGGTCTCAGTCACACAGTCGAGGAAACCTGCTGTTTGTCATCTCCTGTTGATGTGGTCCAGTCAGACGTGTGAGACGACTCCTCTGTATGTCTGATTGGTCTCTGATGCTTTTAGGTTGTGGAAAGTTCTATTTACAAAGAGATCTTATTTAGCATGAAGGGTTTGTTTTGTGTGTGAAGAACAAAATGCTGTACCACGGTTCAACTATACTGATAAATGACAGAGACACAGATCCCTCTGAGCAACAGCTGAATAAGAACAGAAGAAATTAGCAGTCATTGGTAAAAGAAGCTGGAAGCTTAGCATCAAAACGTGTGCAGACTTGAACAGGAATGGTTCCTGTTTAACTGCCAAGTGCACAATAATGCTTCCAACAAGCTGGAAATACCTTCAGCTCTTCTTCAAACTTCACAATAGAAACAGAAGGTCAGTGGGAGGGTTAGCACTGGTCAAATATCAGCTGAACATGCTATGAACTGACAAACCACAGTTTAACCCTCTTCAATCTAACCACTGTCTGAACTTCAGAGGGCCTGAAGAGAAATACACTAACTCAGTATTTAGAGTCCAGTTGCAGCAATAATGATCGAGGATCAATGATGCTTTTCTGATGTGGAAAACAAATTCAAACCCAAGTTCACACAGTATTGCACTGGGACATCTACTAAATGGAAGTTTGAATCATTTGATTCTTCTTCATTTCAGATGCAAACAATAAAACTTTGTATTTTACTTGCTATCTGCCTGACAGGTTTACTAAGCCATGGAATCCTGCCTGACTCTATCATGTCTGTCTTGTTAGTGCCTGTAATCAAAAACAAAGCAGGCAAAATAAACAGTATAGAGAACTACAGGCCTATTGCATTAGCCAGTATCTTATCTAAAGTTGTGGAGAAAATCCTTCTCAATAGGCTAGAAGATTACATAATCACAAGTGACAACCAGTTTGGTTTTAAATGGAAACATGGCACTGACATGTGCATTTTTGCCTTAAAAGAAATTTTAGACAAATACAACAGACAGAACTCAACTATTTTTATGTGTTTCATCGATGCCTCCAAGGCCTTCGACCACATCAATCATGAAAAATTGTTTAATAAATTGCGTGTTAGAGGGTTCCCCATGTGGATTTTAAGAATTTTTGTCTACTGGTATGCTCATCAGACCTTCCACATAAAATGGGGAAACCGAGTCATTAATGGGGTGAGACAGGGTGGAATTTTGTCCCCTTTTCTTTTTAATGTACATATATGGATGACTTGTCGCAACAGCTGAATGTATGTAATACAGGGGGCATGGTTGGCTCTATGTTAATCAATCACCTTATGTATGCTGATGATTTAGTAGTTTTTTGCCCATATAGTGCTGGCTTACAACAGCTATTGAAAGTCTGTACACAATATGGTTTTGACTTCGACATCAAATATAATGCAACTAAGAGTAACATTATGATAGTCAGAAGCAAAGGTGATAGGAAATTAGTTTTCCCTGATTTCTTTTTATCTGGTTCTGTTCTTGAGGAATGTAATGAGGTGAAATATCTTGGCCATCATATTGTAAATGATCTGACAGATGATAAAGATATTAAAGATATTAAAAAAGATATTAAAGATACACATGCTAAACTTCTGTGCAAGCTGATTGGCCTGCAAGTAAAGCTTGCTACTCATGTTAAGGTAGCATTATTTAGAGCATACTGTTCTCCTCTGTACACTGCCCATTTGTGGCGTGTTTATAGCAAAAAAAAAACATGCAGAGACTAAATGTGGCCTATAATGATGCCATGAGGATGCTTTTAAAGCTTCCCCGTTGGTGCAGTGCCAGCGAGATGTTTGTGAATGTTGGGGTGCCGAACTGCTCTGCTGTAATACGCAATCTCATGTACAAATTTATGTGCAGGCTGTCGGCCTCAGGAAATGACATCATATTGTACCTGTGTGACGGTAAGAAGAGCTCGTTTCGGTTCTCTTCATGACTGTGGAGCCACTGGCGCTCCAGTCTGTATGTGAGGGCTGATAGCCTACCTGATGTCTGTCCCTCCTTGACTACATCTGGTTGATAATGGCTGCTATGACTGTGATTGATGTACGTTTTTATTGTATTGTTGCATTGTTGTTTTTATTGTCTGTTTTTATGTATTTTTTTAGTCACTATGAACCTCCTGCTTGTGTCCTTAATCAAGTCTTTATTATTATTATTATTATTATTATTATAATACATTTGGTTTATGAATTATACTGTTTTATACTGAAAGGAGAAAAATCAAATCTAAACAAATTGTGTTTGTACAGCCTTGAAAAGTGTGTATTTCAGTGTGTGGGGTGGATGTATGGGTGAGATGAGGAGTTAAAGGAGATGTACAGAAACAGTATATGTAGGAGATGTGCAGATGAAGAGGGGTGATGCTGATGGGTTCATTTGTTTATTTAATTGGGCCTGGTTGAGATGGGGTTTGTATATTTAATATCTAACACTGTTTATCTATATCAACGGTGCTGCTGGTAAAAATAGTAAAATGATTTTGGCTGACAATTTCCTTTTTAAATGAGACATGAATACTGAGAAGGGGGAAGGATATATAAGTGTACACTTCCTCCTGCTCCTTTTCAAGCATGTCTGTTTGTTTTTATTTTTTGTTTTGCTCAAAATAAAGTTATTAATTCATTCAAACATCAATAAGAACAGTTGATTCATAACTTTTGAATGGCAGTGTCACACAAACGTTATAATTTGTCAGTGTTTGTTTTATCATTTACTACTTGAATATATCACCATCAAATACTGTCACAAGAACAGCTGTGGGAAAAGTATTCAGATTTTTCACTTAACTAAAAGTAGCATTACTGCACAGTGTTAAAAGTCATGCAGTCAAAACCTTCAGAGTAATAGCATCAAAATATATTTTTTTAATGTATTTTCATTATATCTTTAAGTGTTTTATTTACATAAGTAAAACGTACTGTAGTTACATTCCACCACTGCACAAGTACATAATGTAGATTTAATAGTATAGTATGGGATTAGGACACACCTGTAGTTCCCCTCCAGCTCAGTAGATGGCAGTAATGCTGTGTTTATGTTGCTGAAGAAGACTTCCTGGTGGGCCTCCATTTGATTGGCTGCAGTTTATTGTGAACAGCAGATGTCAGTTTGATTGTGAGCTGATCTTAAACACTGTTTACCAAACTGTCACAGCAGCTAAAGGAGCTAACAGAGGCTAACATTAGCATATTGACTTTACCATCAGGATTCAGTAGATAAAATAGTAAAGGAGTGTTCTGTCGTAGAGACCAGAGCTAATGATAAAATAAGATAAGACAGAAACATGTCTACCTGATGAGACTGAACAGATGTGGAGACACAACCAGCTGCTTCAGTCTGCATGTTTAATGTTTGATGAACTCTGATGTGGATCCAGCTTTTTGATGTATGTTTCTACAGTGACTGTCAGCTGATCATAACATGGTTCTCCTCTCGTCTCTTCCAACAGAAACGACCTCTGTACCTCGTCAACGAATACTTCTACACCAACATAGATGAGACACCTTTCAGGTAAATCACCTGTTTTTGTCTTTGAGACTTTTAAACAACTGTAATGGTTTGATGTTTGATCCACCTGTGTCTGCCCACTGAAAGCCAGTGTGCAGGATTTTGGGAGATATATTGGCAGAAAGAGAATGTTTATTTTTCATTTATTTTTATTTAACTCATTCTTCATCAGTGATCTCTTTCTCAAGGGAGACCTGGCTAAGACGGCAGCATACAAATTACAACTCAACAATGAACAGCAAGGACATAAAAAACACAAACATGAAAGATACTAAGATATAAATGATTTAAATACCTGCAGGCATCCACAAGTACCAACCGATTCATTCACCATTGTACATATGAGACCTTTAAGACCAGACATAGGGACCAAAACCCTCAGTTTCAGTACATCTTGCAGGCCGTTCCAAGTGAGGGGAGCAGAGACCTTAAAAGATTTCTTTCCCAATTCAGTCTGTTCACGTGGGACAGACAATAAAACCAAATCTTGCGAGCTCAGACTATAACTACAGTCAGATCTCCGAGCAATCAAAGTGCAAATGTACGATGGTAGTTTACCCAGAATGGCTTTATAAATAAACAAATAGCAGTGACTGAGCCTACACATAGTCAAAGATGGCCACCCAGCCCTGGAGTAAAGAGTACAATGATGAGTGAGGCCTTCACAGTTTGTAACAAACCTCAGATCACTGTGATATACAGTATCTAACATGTGCAAACAGTGTGCAGGTGCATTCATGTACAATAGATCACCATAATCAAGAACCGGTAAGAAGGTAGCAGAGATCAGTCTCCTTCTGGCCTCCATAGAGAAGCAGGACTTATTTCTGAAATAGAACCTTAACTTCAGTCTCAGCTTTTTAAGAAGATTTTCAACATGAGGGAGAGAGACCGTCATCAAGCCAGATACCGAGATATTTAAAACTGGAGACAACTTCTAACTTCTTTCCCTGAGCAGAAATAATGTCAGCAGTGTTATATAATAAGTTTGTTTTCTTTATTGTTTAATCACCTGAAAATAGCAACTCTTGTGTTTTTGTTACCTCAGAATGAGACATTTATATCCACATAGGGAGCAGGTCCTCGTCCATGTTGCACCGCCATGTTTCAACAGAAGCCCAGAAAACACAAACCAAACACTGACTCTATTTTTAACGTGAACTGCTGTATTCAGTGTTTTTACTGGTTTGAATCAGCTGGCCTGTTTGTTCTGGAGAGAAGAGACCTTTGTGGATAATTTGGCTCGTGGTAAAAACCTGAACAATGAACACTGAATGAACCGAGAGTTCACGTTTGTCACACGAGGAGTTTCAGCAAGTTGCAATCTATAATCCTCACCGCTAGCTGCCACTCAGTCCTACACACCTCTCATTTAAGTTCTTGTTAAACCGTCCTGTTGGGCATCTGTCAAAAGATCCATCAAAAACCCACATTTTCCTCTCACCTGTAGGGCTGTCTATCAGTCCAGATTGTTCTGGGATCACTTTCAGAGTATTGGAGATATCGGCCTTCTCTCTAATTTAATGGAACTAAATAGAACAGATATTTATAAAAACTTTTAAAGCTCAACATGGTTTAGCGCTGCGTTATATAGCTGAGTTTATGACTCCTTTTGCTCAAAGTCGTGACCTGAGATCCTCAAGCCTACCTTCACTAGTCGTCCCTAGATCAAGGCTGGTAACTAGAGGTGACCGGGCTTTTGCCATCGAGACCCGATGCCATACTACTATCACAATCTCATTTAGAAAAACAAAAATATATATATATAAGGAATATAAATGTGTCTAAATGTTTGTGTTAATGTATTGGCCAATATATCAGGCAGCTCAAATATCAACCTCGTGATCCAGTAGCAGCTGGACACTGACCCAAAATACTTGTTTCTCTTCTCACTGTTGATACATCCAGCTGTGTGTGTGTGATCTGACCACTAGATGGCAGCATTTTACAAGGTATGTTATTTAATCACAAAGGCTTCTCTGTCTTCTTCTCTGTTTCTGCAGCTTCGGCATGGTGCTGACGAAGGGTCACGGACAGCTCATGTTTATTGGAAACGTATCTGTGGAGGAAGGTAGGCTTTCCCACAATGCACTGCTGCAGACCTCTTAAATAAACTATTGTATCTGATGCTGAAGTTGGTTTGAAAATACAACAAATCAGAACAGTGTGTGTAGATGGATGTTGAAGTTGTTTATTCATACATATGAAAATACAACCTTGTACATGTGACTTGGAGACGTGACCTACATTTCCATGTTGATAAGGTCAGTCTGTGTGTTTTCATTTGACCTGACTGACGTGTTTGTACCTTCCCCTGCAGGCCTGCACGATCTCACCTCCCCAGACCTCAGCATCGCCTCCGAGTGGTACGTCTGAAACTGCAAAACATCAGTTTGATACATGAACCGATGTTTGATACAGCTGACTACATCAGTTTAATTTTTAATTCAGTTTGTTGGCAGAACACGCAGAATATACAACATAATGTTTTCGAATGTAAATGACAAGGTGAGTGTGGGAGTAATAGAATATAGAGTAGAGATATGATAAGAGTCATGTCCACATAGTTATGATTCAAAGTGTCTTCCCAAAAATATTTCCAGCACTATGCTGAAGTTATTCTCAGACATCAAATATATATTTTTCATTAACTCTGTATCTAAAACCAGCTGAAAACATTAAGGCAGGTTTCTCTGTAGTTGATCCTGGTTTAATGAAGCCTCTTCTCCTCAGGACGTACTGTGAGACGGACATCGACCCCGGCCACAGGAAATACTCTCAGCTTCAGGCCGCCATCCGCTACCTGCTGGGGAAGGAGCCCGACCTCGAGTGTAGGTTTCTGACACTACAATAATAACCCTTTAATAAGGTTTCCATACATTTATATTTATACAAAGTATAATGGCTTATAATTATTGATTAAACAGTTTTTGTCTTTAACAATTTTAAAGAAGTTCTTGTCCAGAGTGACGAGTGTTTATTTGACATTCATTTAAAAGTCATTTGTGTTTTTTACCAAACCTGTCCGTTGCCTAGGCGACGAGGTGTTGCTGCAGCAAACACTGTTTGACGCTGTGGTAACGGCTCCATTAGAAGCCTACTGGAACGCCCTGATGCTCAACGACAGGTGAGACCTGAGATTTTCACTTTTTACATTTTCATTTTACACCTGATAATGTGAAGCATGCTTCTGATGTACGCCATAGAACTTCAATTAAAAGCCCAGTCTCTGTTACTATACCAGCCTGGTGTAGCTACACACTTTGACAAATAAAGGCCTGTCTCAGTTAGAGGCCTGGTCTGGTTGCCAAGCAGTTCTTTGGATGTATAAACCAGGTTGTTGACCATCCACTTGAGCTAACATGAGTTAGCTGCTTAGATCGCACATACTGATAAAAATGTTTAAATGTTAACTCGGTTCAGTTCATTTTACTGAAACCATGAGCACCAGAGAAGATCGTAATTCATTCAGATTTACTGGCATGATGAAGAAAAGTGGTGTAGCTGTCATAATGTCAGAATATGTGTCTATTCCTCAGATCAAAAGAATCAAACGTGTTTTTCATAAGAAATCCAAGTTATGAATATTGTTTTAAAAGGGATCAAATGATGTCGTGTCGTATGCCGTGTGCTGTGGCCCTCAAGAGCCGTGAAACAAGTAACACAATTATTATACAATAAATATTCAGACTGGTTCAAATAAACACTTTGATGGTATTTCCTGATCTTTGCTGAACAACAGTTTGGTGTAAAAAAAATGAAAGGCCTGTCCCAAATATAGATTGAACCAAATAATAACCCGGGCTACTAATTAATAAAACTGTGTTGAATCAGTAACTTGGGATCCTCATCAATCTTCAGAGTTCAGGTGTGTGTTACCTGCAGGGTCCTACATGTTGGCCCCTCATGGTGTGTGTTACCTGCAGGGTCCTACATGTTGGCCCCTCATGGTGTGTGTTACCTGCAGGGTCCTACATGTTGGCCCCTCATGGTGTGTGTTACCTGCAGGGTCCTACATGTTGGCCCCTCATGGTGTGTGTTACCTGCAGGGTCCTACATGTTGGCCCCTCATGGTGTGTGTTACCTGCAGGGTCCTACATGTTGGCCCCTCATGGTGTGTGTTACCTGCAGGGTCCTACATGTTGGCCCCTCATGGTGTGTGTTACCTGCAGGGTCCTACATGTTG